ACAGGAAAACCAGCTAATAGAAAATGCATCCGAACATCTGGTCCCCTACACTTTCATTAGCATCTGCATATTAACACCACTGAAAGCTAAGAGCAGACACTTTGCAGTATCACAGGGACACATATTTTGTTGCATTTTGAGGTTCCAAGTGCATCCTCTGCCCTTGTTGTCTCCCCTCAGAGCGGCAGCTTCTTTCTTTTGGCATGCTCTTCTGCAGCTACTTGCCAGCTTACATAGCATTACCCTCATTGCTCAAACCCCCTTCAAAGCAGTTCACTCATCATAGCTCGAGGATGACGGAGGCAGCTTCTTTGGCCTCGCTGAGGAGCTGAAGCTCAGCCCAACATTCAGGCAGCCACTGCCGCAAAGAGCAACTTCAGCCAGAGCCTAACTTCCTGCTTTACTTGTGATTGGTTATGGATTTTGGCCCTCAGTGTTTTGCTGTCTTCACAGGCGTGCAGCCTTCGCTCACCTCGCTGAACTCTGCTGCTTTTTTCGACAGCAAAACACAAATCTAAAAATCAAAGCACTCTGGCTCTCGGCGCTTTTTTGAGCCTTAAGAAAAAAAAAAAAAGAAAGCCGTGTTTGTTCTCACATCCTCTAACATAAGTTTTAATGTATAACAAGAGCTCCCAACTTTTTTGTGTGGGAAGCTTGCTATCATTAGCAGCTACGATACTTTATGAGTGGATGCATTCACAGAGAAAATTTCCCCGAGGCCGAAATCAGCACTGGCCAGACTGTGCTTTGTAGAAAAGAAGAAAACTCAACTAAAGCCAAATCCACAAGGGTTTAAGTCGTCTTTGTTTTTATTTTCCTCTGTTTTGTAGCTTAACAGATATTTAAATGTAGTTTTTTCTCATTTTTTTATGACAGCGCTATTCTAACTGAAGCTCTGGTAATAAAATAAACTAAAAGTAAAAATCTAAACACTGCACCGTTTAGCTTAGATCAGTGGTCCCAGTTCAGAAACTGAACGGTCACAAACAGCATCAATAAGCTGTAATAATAAAAGTTATAGAATATAACTAATATAAGAATATATGTAGAAATATATTATTTCACTTTATGATATTATCCATCTATCCATTCTCCTCTGCTTCTACTTATCCGGATCTCGGGGGGGATAATCAATATAAAAATTTTCTAATTTTAAACAGTATTGATCATAAATGGTATAAAAGTGACATCACTCATAGGTTTCTTCTGTTTCAAAGCATCATTTATGTCGCCGCCATCTTTTCTGCCAAAAACTAGATGTAAACAGGAGGGTCGGGTCTTTCTTTTTATCCCACAGAGAATCCTCCAGTTCGAAACGTGGTTTCATTGAACAGACACTGTTTTTTAAAATCTGTATGACTCAAAGGGAGTGGCTGAGTCCAGGCACCACATGAACCACGCGATGCTAGATTGGCTGCCATTTTGGACATGTGACCATCATGGTGGCGGTGTAGGATTTAAAAAAAAAAAAACCCCACTCAGGCCTAAACATCGATCCACCATCGGCTGCTTTTACTTTAAAGGTGAACCTTACCCATATCCAGGTTGCGTTGTGCTTCTACTGCACCTCAGCTAGTAGTTACTGAGTATTCAGTCAGTTTTTGAAAACTTCAGCTATCGCCACCTGGTGGTCCTCAGATAAAACTGAAATATAGAAACAGAAATATCCTTTATTTTCTCTCGTTGGGGAAATTCAGGGTTACAGGTTCTCAGGAACTTCATCACATCCATTTTCTACACTGTGTGTGGCAGGCACACACTGCCTCCCCTCGCTGGCAGCTGAAGTAGTTGAACAAGTCAATAAAACTCCCATTTTTACAACGCTGAGGAATAAAAAAAACTTTTCGTACAATAACACTGGCACAGGCCTGGTTTCGAATCAAGGCCGTTTACTGTGTGTCTTTCTCCATCATCCAAAAAACCCCCCTCCAAACATTAATGTTGAAGCTAGGGAGCAAACGTTAGGATTCGTGCACACGTGTAATACCAATAGCATTAATTTAACAGGGTAACACAATTATTTGCAAGTAAAAGGTGTTGTTGTCCCTGTAAAGCCCAGGTTGAAGCTGAGAAAAGTTTGCTAGCTGCCAGACAGGAAGACAGGCATCAACAACTCCACCACAGGCACAGCACTGCCACAGACAGCTTACAAATAGTGCAATCTTACCATTTGTTTTGTTTGTGGTGCTTTAAGTTGTTTTTTAAAAAATGCCTTTTTCATTTTTTGTCATTTTTTCAGACCCTGGCTGAAAATGGCATTAAGTAGGATATTTTCCTGTCCATCAGTGTGACAACCATATTTTATATTTTTCACTGAGATGAGCGCTCACCTGCTAGCTGTCCTAGCTGCAACGCAAACATGAACGGTTCGATGACTACTGGCAGTCAATCGTACAAATACATACTTTGAAGAAATCTAATGATTTCTTAATGACCTGGAAAATCCTGGTTGGGTAGTTATGAAGTATGCTGCACCGACTGCATCTTACTGAGTGTAAACTGATGATGAGTGTTTCTCGATACAATCTGACTGCTCAGCTTTCTTGTGTTATGCACGTAAAAGGTAACTGTTGATCTTAAACTGGCCACAGGTGTGGATGTGAACATGTGGGCGTGTCGCACTCTGTTTACTCATTTCTAACTTTTTATTCGGGGAGATGCTGGTGATTAGCTTAGCAGCTGCAGAGTCTTGCAGAGCATCCATGTCTGTGGTAAATCACGCACATGCATGCAGTCCAACATCCACGCACGTGTTGATTCCCATGTTTACTGAGACTCTGCAGGACTGAGTGCCTTGTTGCCATAGCGCCTGCTGTCATTGAGGGACACGGCGAACTGTGGAAGCGGGGAGCGAGTGCGTGACATAAAGAGGAGGAAATAGTGACACGGGCAAAGAAACAAGTGAGAACAGTAAGGGGTGGATGATGCGGTTAAAGAGCAACCGTATGAATGTTTGGTTATTCAGACCTCCGTTGTTGCTTCCTTCACGCCTTTTTCCCTCCCCGCCTGCACTTTCTTCATCTTGCTGACAGATTTCCCACAGTATGACTCATTCTGATTAGCACCAAGAAGCCCCTTAAAAAGCTCTCATACTCTAAAATATAGACTAACACACTGGCCTCTTCTTTGCGGTCTGCAATATCAGAAATGCTAAGAGAAAAGAGAAATAGACCAGCCATTACAGCCACAGGATGATAAAGCCCATGGTCTCATTCAGGAGTGCACGAATTGATGAACTGTGTCTGTCCTTTAGCGGTGGTGCTTAAATTTCATTTAATGCCACTGCAACAGCTAATCGCTTGTGTCTTTTCTCTCTGTTTGGCAATTATGTGTCTACGTGTGCGTGTTTTAAGCGAAAGGAGCTCCTCGTGTGGGAGAAGAGAGTGTTGCAAGTGCTATCCAGCCACCACTTGGGATGAGTAAAAATGGAGCCTCGGCTGTCCTTATCTTGTCATGAGCCAAACTGTTTCAGCAAGAGAGCACGGCATTACGACATTGCTGGCAAGGCTGCCTCTCTGCTATCTTTCCATTTGTCTCCCACCATTCCAATCCAATCCTCTATTTTCGTTTTTATCTCCCCGTGTCATCTCACCCCGGCTCTAAAATTCATTTATGCGCTCCTTCGCTCTTGAATGCCGAGCTTACATCTCTTCTGTCTCTTTATTTTTCTCCCCCATCGGCTTAATCACTGTTTCTCTTTCTCCAGAAAAGGATTCCAGGACAGCTGTGCCGTTTACACACCTTGGCTAGCTTTTACTTGTAATTCAGATTTTTTTACTGAAGCATCATCATGACGAGCCTAAATTAATGTGAATGATGTGGCTCATATACAGTGTTGGGCAAGTTACTTTGAAAAAGTAATTGATTACAGTTACTAGTTACTGCTTCAAAAAAGTATCTAAGTTAGTAACTGAGTTACAAGATTCTAAAAGTAATTAATTACTTGAAAAGTAACTACTGCGTTACTTTAAAAAAAAAAAGTTTAACCATGGGGTCTAGGGTATAATTGGCCATTTTTAACTACTTTTGATGTTTCCTCTACATTTCACCTTTAAAAACAATTTACTTTCCCTTGTTTGGTATCATTCTTTTCAGCACAACCTCAGGTGTCTGAATTTACAGTTCTGTTTTCATTTTGACATACTGTATTAACACAATTGATCTAAAATCAGAGAAAAAAACATAAAATCAGAGTAGAAAAGTTATATTTTTTACTCTAACAACCACAAACATGTTTATTGAATCATATTTCATAACTTTGAATGCAAAAATAAATTGTCAATTTCAAAATCATATGCACAAGTTTTGCGAACAACAAAGTTATTTGCAGCCATTTACCTTTTACCCCCTTTTTTATAACCATTTCAAACTATTTACAGAACAATCAGGTGTTCTGGATTCAATAAGATGCCGCACAAATTATTTGTACCACTACAAATATTAATTTCTGTCCACTATAAAGGAGAACATCACAGCCTGATACCTGCAGGTCTGACAGCAGGCGTATCCCTCTCCTGTTTCTACCTGGAGAGAGCAGTCGCCTCATTGTTCTGACACACAACACAAAACTATCCACAACACTACACACTAACTACACAAGACAACACATTAACTACACACTCCAAACACGCAAAACATCACAAATCGCTCACATCTCAAAACTGGCTCTCTCTCTTTTTCTGCTTTCTCTCTCTCTTGCCGTTGCTCCTAAAACTTCCCCCTCTTCCTAAACAACCAAATGTCAGGTTACCATATCATTTTTGATTGGTCGACATGGTGCATTTTCCACCAACACGAAAGGTGGAGGGGGGTCATAAGCACAGACTGCATGCAAGCCTTATCTTTAGAAGTTAAATGTGGCGAAACTATTGAGGAAAAAACGCCGCGTATATATATTGTTTATCATGACTCTGGTTATCACCTTGTTGCTTTGTCATCTTAAAGTGGTCGTGTGATTGGCTTACCACGACTACTTTATTCTTCCTCAGCCAAACAACAGCACTCATGCGATTGTTTTGCCCCCTTAGCTTCAGGTGTTGTGCCAAAAAGTGATCGTTGGGCAGACAGTGATTACCGTCCGCGTGAGCGCGCAGCTGCTTAAAGCTGTAGCGTCCAGATTACTCACGTAGACAGCTAATTCCGTTCAACTGATATAAGATGCGGTAAGCTGAACACAGCTGCAACCGCAACCGCACCGCATTTTCTTGTTAGTAACAGTAACGGAGTTGTAACAATAGAAATAGTAATTAGTTAGATTACTTGTTACTGATAAAAGTAACGCTGTTAATAACGCCATTACTTGTAATCGTTTGTATCGTTTGGGGTGGATTTTAAGGGTGTACTGCAGCTGTCTTTCTTTTTCCTTCAGACACCAAAAATGCTTCCCGTACAGCAGCCAATAGTATGTTTGAATAGTTAAATGGACTGGCACTCATAAAGCGCTTAGTGCTTTCTACTACGAGTCTCATTCACCCATTCGTACTGCAGTTTTTTTTTCATTCCTAAGTGCTTTTTATCGAATATTCACACAACACATGACCCACGCTTCATCCATCCATCCATGGTTGGGACTTTGAAATACCAACACACTAGGGATGGACAATATATTGATATTTCAAAGAAATTAGGAAGGAATATTTATGATAATATACAAAAAAATCCTATCAGTTCTTAAATACTAAATAAAAAAATTCCATTCAATTTGTAAATTATTCAGAGGGCATCAAATCGCAACAAGTCACCTCAATGTGGTTTATATTGTAAGGTAAAGCCTCTACAAACATACAGAGAAGCAGACGACCCCCTATCAGCAAGCACTTGGTAACAGTGGGAAGGAAAAACTCCATTGCAACAGGAAGAAAGCTCCAGCAAAACCAGCTGTGACTGGTTGGGGTTTTTTTTTAGCTAATTTCCATCAAAGGCTGAGATGTTGCTCTAACTGGGCAGAGTGCCTGTGCTTATTTCAGTGTTGTGCCACTGATATCATGGTATGACACTGTTATATGATGTATAAAATGTATGTAATTGTATAAAAATGCACCTCACATAATGTCATAGTAGTAAAAAGTGTTGTAGATTAAGTGTCTGGAGCAGTCTCTTTGGCACTGAGTTTCCGGTTCACGGTGATTCCTCATATATGTGCCGACCTCATTGTGTGAAACTGTGGCCATATTTAACAGGGTTGGCACTGACTGCAAATGTGGCAACGTTTGTTTTGCAAAACTTTGATCCAAGATGAGCAAATATTTCAAATAGTGCTCTGAGTCAGAAATATCATCTGCACGTTATTAATAGGAAAGAAACTGAATTTATATCCAGCGTGCAGAGTCTAAGCCATAGCTCCAAAGGCGAGGAAGGTCTTTATCAAACTGCAATGCCAGTGTTAGCATTAAATAATAACAGCCTCCTTCTCTGAGGCTGTATTTCTTTGTTGATGGGAAAGCCAAGCCTGACGTTCATGAGGCGATATCGAACAGTGCTGTTTTTCACACAAAGAACAGTGAGCGAGGGAGAGACAGAGAGAAAGCTGGTGCCCAGCAAAGTGGCCTCTGGGCTTCTATGCAGCAACGAAACCCCAGAGATCTGTCAATAACAGGCAGGTTGTTGTTGGCTGTTGTTGTTGGATCAATCCAGGCCCCGAGCATTGCTTCACTTCTAATTGCCATGTGCACTGACAACACAGCACATGCTCTTTACTTTCATGTGTGCCAAAGTCTTCGTGGTGCTTCTCAGTGTTTTCTAGACCGTGGTCTGACTGCTTTACAGTTTTGCTGTCACTTTTTTTGTTAGGTTTAATTTAAAAAATTCGAGTCGAGCTGCGTTTTGCTTTTATTTCGGTACGCACGGCTGGCCGCTTAAAGAGAGATGGCGAAACATCAAGAGACGTGCAGCAGCACGCTTAAAAAATCAACCGCCGCCACCTGCTGTTAATTGATTAGCTGAAAGCGAACCCATACATTATTCAATTTTGCATAATTTACAGTTCATATAGAGCTTTTTACATCAGGCGTTTCAACATCATGCGCCTCGCTGCATCACGTGACTCACTTCCCACAGGGAGGTTTGTTTTTGCCCAGTGTGAGATGCTGTCTGAGTGGGAGTGGAAGCTGCTTAAATGGACTGGGTGCTCTTTCCCCAGTAATAAACTGACAAGAATACCTCTTACTGCATTTGTGTCATTGAGAAGCACACAGTAAGGAGTTTAGATCCTTTACCAGTCGAGCCTACGTGCAGACCAACGCTGACGATATCTGTGACAGTCCAGAGAGCAGAGCGGCCCGAGGCCGTGCTCTGTTTTAGAGGCGTTTGCAGCTTTAAGTAGATCCACCTACACCCGTCACATTTACATTTTCTCACGGCTGTTCAGAGCCGCTCTCAACAGTGCTGTAAACTTTAGCAGAAGTAGAACAAGCGGGTCTTAAAGAGATGTGGCTCATGCAGGTGCTTTATATGTGAACCACGTGAATGATCTTTTTGTTCGTACAGATTGTTAGAATTTGTTTTTTATTTCATTTAACCAGGATAGAAACTCATTAACGATGTGGATCATATCATACACATTTGTAACATTTTTGAGGCAAATTTCTCTTCATACAGAAACAACCAAAATGTGCAAACTTCACTGTGCATAAAGAATGAGTACATTAGTAAAAGCTGATGGCGTGCAGGTGAAGCGGCTCTTTAGTGTTCGTTGATCCTGCAGCTGATTCCAGGCGAAGGAGCTGCAAATCTGAACGCTTTTTCCAAACTCAGTGCAGTCTGTCACTCAGCAGAATACAAATTCTCCCAAATCCAGTCCGGGCGAATTATGTCAGCACCTCGCTGTTTGTCCTCTCCTCAGTTGTTTTCAAATGGCAGCCACTGTCAACAGCTGCAGCAGGGGGCTCGTCTCCTGTCTCCTATACCCTGGTGCTCGAAAGCCCCCAGAAACACCAATCAATGAATGAACCACTTACTGTGGTATTCAGAGAACAAAGTAATGTCTAGTATTCTGCTGGAATGGAAGGAGCACAAAGTCCAGGTCTTTAATGGGGCGAGGAGCGCGAGGGCTGATGGAGCCGTGTGTTAGATTCTTGTTTTTGTTATGTGGCTTTTTAAAAGCCCAGATGAGCTGCCTCATTCCTCTCCACTGACTTCATGACAGGTAACACAGAGACAATCGCTTCCCCGTACAGCCTTCCAGCTCACGTATCCTTGAGAATGTTCTGTACTCCAGCCTGCACTGCACAGTCAGTGCCGTGAATGTCCTGCAGAGCTCACCTGAGCTGTAAGGTGCGAGCTCACCCCTGTATTTCCCTGCACATGTTTTTACTGAATTAAGTTGATGTGCGAGGCGGGGTGGCTTTTACTTCCGAAGGAAACGGCTTTCATCGCTCGTATTTGCCATGGAAGGTGGCAGATTGCAAATGAAACATCGCCAAACACGTACACCAGCGAGGAGGCGATTGAGCCCGTTTTATGCAAATATGAGTGGATGTTGCTGGGTGAGTGAGCAGAGAAAAGCCCCGCTGGGATGTTATCTGTGAAGTGTGTCATGTGAATGCATTTACTTTTAAGAATGGAGGCCAAGCCCGTGAGCCTTGTGGGGTAACATAAAGAAATGAGGCCGTCAGCCAGAACACATCATCTTTGACCGCCTGCCCGGGTGATTCAGGTCGAGCGAACTACAGCTCTTTAATTTGTGTCTCTGCGCTATTGTTTAATAAGGCTAAAGGCCCTCTTTTTTTCCACATGTGACACTGTTGAATGATCTGGTCGCTAAATTGACTGCACTTAGCGCTCTTCTTCTCTTCTAATTTCCTCTCTTCTGCCCCCACTTTGCTCCAATCCCTTGTCATCTGTCTCACCATTGTTATCAGTGTCTGCACTCATGAGCTGACCACCTCCTTTCACTCCCCTGCCTTGTGACTTTAAGTTGAGAAGTGTCTCTGCACACACAAAGCTGCTGTATGCCTCTCCACACAACCCTCTGCTCTTGCCATCTTCCCTTCCTCTTTCTTTCTGCCCTTCAGCTTTCAAAGCTCATTCTATAAAAACCCGTCCTGTGAAACTCATCCAGCATCCCACAGCTACTCACCCGCATCCAGTCACCGGAACCAAATCTACTTCAGCACAAACACACGCCAAACCATCAGAGCACGGAGGTGGCAGAGACCTGAGGTTGACGAGGGAGGGAGGGAAAAAGAAGAGGGCAATAAGATGTCAGGCGGATGGGTAAAAGTGAGCTATCTTCACCCGGCCTCTTCTAAATAAGCCATCCATTCTTTAGTATTTTAAATCCCATCAGTCTAACCCCGTGGGGTGGGAGGGTGCATTAAAATGTAGGAGCGAAAAGACAGACATGATTTGTTGTGATGGGACGAGAGCTCGAGCGAGAACAGGAGGAGAAGTAGAGGAATGCGAGATAAATACAATGAGGTGCAGGTTTGATTCGAGCAAAGACAGATTGGAGAGAATAGATGCAGATAGAGGCGGAGACGGAAACACGGGGAGTAAGAACAAGAGAGATAGACGTATACGGCTGAGCTGGCAGCCTCCTCCGCCGATTAACATGCTCCTCAGACATGGTGAGGGGGATCAAACTTGCACAAAGCCAGGCCTTGGAGTTATGCCTGCAATGCAATGAAAATGCATGTGTGTGTGCGCGTGTGTTTATTTCTGTTTGTTTGTTTTGAGTTTGGAGCTGCTCCTCGACACACACAGAGCAGTGTGTCTTTGTTCACAGCTGCCTTGTGTGCACAGTCGTCAGCTGGAGACGACTGTTGATTGACATCACGGTGTGTGTGTGTGTGTGTGTGTGTGTGTGTGTGTGTGTGTGTGTGTGTGTGTGTGTGAGGTGTGACATTCAAAGCAACAGGGAAGGCCAGAGCAGAAAGTGGAACCCAGAGTTACTGTAGTGCATGAACTCACACTGGAATTTCTGGCTGATCGGTGGAGGGAGAGGACAAAGGAGGTGAGGAGAGGCGGTCAGAAGGAGGAGGAAGGAGATGCGTGTGTGAGTCCAATCCTGGAGAACGAGTGTATGCTGATTTTGCGCACAGGGACATGCGTGTGTGCAAGTGTCAATGTGAAATCAAAAGCTGAGGACTTGCAGGTACACTTCTTTTTTATATCTTTACTGGTGCCAGGCCTGATCTGTCAGCCGTCTGCTGAGAGAAGATACTCTGCAGTGCGTCCCTGTCTCTTAGAAGCTGTTTATGATGGGGGCGTTCACAGCGGCGCCTTTGACGAGATGATTTCCTGCAACATTTGCAAAAGAAAAAAAAAATAATCTGGACACAGTTGAGGGAACATTATTCTTGGATGTTATAGCGTGTGGCTTGTATAGCTGCTCTGCTCGCTGAATTATTTCATCATTAACTCTAGCATTCATCCTTGAAAGCAAACAGTGCAGGCTTCCTGCACAGGGCAAGGACGTATGCTAGAGAGGTCTAAGATTCTTGCGATTTGTCTTTCTTCACAGACCACCGTGTTTCTCGTCTTTTGTCCTTTCTCACACGGTTTGTCATCCAATGCGTGTGATTAGTTGTCGTGTTACTCTGTACATCACGACTGTGCAAACCAGAGTTTAAAGTTACGGGGGATCTTTTTCTCTCAGAGCTCGAGATGTCTGTCCTCGTGTATCTGTAAGACACCACTTTCAGCGTTTGTTGTTTCTGTGACTTCAGGAATTCAACGCTTGCAGCAGCATCGTTTATGAAAAGCACGCTTTCAAATAATTGTTACTGTGCAAAAAAGTGAGGATTGTCCTCCATTTAAAGTGTCCTGCTTTGTTCCTGCCGTGTGACCCTACTCGCCCCCTGACAGTCGCTTGTTGCCATTACGATAAATCCAGCTCTCCTGATTCAAAAGCAGAAAGGCCGAGCAGTCTCCAGATGGGAGCATGCTGCCCCGTCGAGTTACTTCTGTGTGTTTGTGTAGGATAATACATGTCCTTTGTGGGGTTTTTTCCAGAATAATCACATCAAGCCGGGTCCTGTCATGCTGCAGAACCTCTTATTGCCATTAGCGAGGTTTCTGTATTTTGTTCTAACCATGTTGGAGATTATCGCCACTTATGTTTTTTCTTTACTGACTTTATGGAGCCACGAGTCCTGATGGATGCAGTTACTTTTAGACTCCCACCGGTCTGAGAGTGTGTTTTCTTTTCATTTTTACTGCAGTATAGCTGGGTTTCTCCTACATGGATGTTTGAGTTTGATTTATGGCCTTGGCCCCTGATCTCTGCCCTGCTAATGATGGCTGTAAACTGGTGGGAAGCCAAAAGGTCAGGGCTATCCCTGCTGTTGTGATGTGACACCACGTTTCTCCGTGTTTTATGCGTCGCTGTTTCGATGTCCACCATGGCGAGAGGTGCTCAGACGCAAAAAGGTGTGCTGAGCACGGAGAGGTAACACGCTGGATGGAAAATAGAAGAATAAAAGCGTTATCTCTGCGGATTTCGTTGGAGAGTCCTCCTGAAACGCAAACCTATAATTAACCCGCAGACGTCGGCAGCCAGCCAGCGCTGCAAATTCTTTGTTCTGCTCCTTCTAGATTGTGACTGTCTCCTGATGTCTTCACAGCTGTAATTTTGAGGACTGTGAAGGTTAATGACAGCGACACAACTCTGGGGAGAGCTCAGAAAAACTCAAAGATATCCATTCATCAACAATAAGCTATTACAAGTATTACATTTGTGCGCCGTCATGCGGTCTTTCATCGAGCTCCTTCTCACCCGTTAATAGGAGCACATCCACGTGTAAGAGGAAAGAGTCAAAGATTATCTTATTCCAGCTCCAACCTTTAAATCCTTTGAAATTATACATCTATTAGACACACAAAGGAGATACTGTACTAACCACGGGAGTAGTCAGGTAGCAGAGACAGAGGAGACATTCTCATGATTCGAGTCTGATAAAAGAGGAGTGTTAAAGAAACGTTTTGTCCTTCTGCTCATGCTGCACATATTTCTCACCACATAAATCTTTGCCGTTTTGTCAGCACATGGGAAAATCAGTGTTCTGTGGAAAAAGGTCACTCTTCATTTTTCATTGACTCTGTACACCGCCCCCCCCCCTTTCTCTCTTCTTTAACCACTTGACTCTCTTCCTCTCTTCCTTTAAAAGTGTGTGATTTTTGTCTTTCTTACGGCTCTGGGATTTCATGCTGATGCAAATTTCTAGTAAACAGACCGCGGGTCACTCAAGTCCCAAGAAGAAGTTGTGCGTGTTTCACTGCAGAGGAGGGAACTCCGACATAATGTTTACATTAGCCCTGGAAGAGAAAGAGGAGGCAAGACAGTGGCCGGGCTCGGAGGAGGCACAATGCCCAAAGGAGGTGTGTTTTGTTGTGTGCATGTCATCTAAAGTGTACGGCGTACGTGCTGTATGTCAGCATGGTAGAGAGGGAATCGCCGTCTTGAGCGAGCACAGCAGATTTAAGGTGCATTTCCCAAAAGAGCAAGAACATAATGTACGAGGTTTTATTCTGGCAGAGACTCGGAGAACAACCAAACGCGGTTTAAACACAACACAGTTTAAAGAGAAAAACAACCACGGGGAAAACAAATGTTTCCAATCTGTTATTTACACTGTTGATGTTGGAGCCCGTTGAATATTCAGTAAAATAAAATTAAAAAACAGATCGAAACACAACTGCTTTTGATTTAAGTCTTGTAAAAATGAGCTTGCACCCGATTGGCCGAATGCTACTGTGTTGAAAAAGTCCAATATTAATCATGTCTGTAATTAATCAGAAGCCCAATGAGGGAAATAAGAGCTCCGGGAGCAGGTGTGATGCTTTTACGTTTCTGTTTTCTTATCAGGAATCAGCCGCTGCAGGAATTTTGCAGCCATAATAGAGCAGGAGTTCATCATCCCACCATCCTTAAACATTTGGTGCCTAAAGGATAATTCTGACGTCCACTCTTTGATTTCATGCTGTTTTAGTTATCTGACCTTAGCTGTACTACCCTTAAATAGTTTTTTCATGATCTTTCCTTTAGCATTAATCAGGTATGCCCACATCTATCAAACACAACACATAAATGCATACACTTAAATGAAACAGAGAAGAAGAAGTGAAGGCACTGCAGGGTCCTGGCAGAAAAGTGCAGAAGAAAATGAAAAGCAAAAACCAAAATTACAGGCTACGCGAGCAGATAAGAAAGCAGAAGGACTGACATTTAAATAAAGGAAGGGCTGGAATTAAAATACACAGGAAACTTATTAGGGAACAACATGCAGGTGAAATTAATCAAAGAGGCCAGACAATCACAAAGGCAGGAATAAGACGAAACACAAGAAAGTGAACAGGAAGTAACTATAAAAGAGGAACAAGCAAGCGAATAAAGAGACAAAGAGTCATAATCACATTTGGGAAATGTAATGAGTAAGAAACACGGGGGGCTGGGTCTTACAAAACCCTGCAACAGGAAGAAAAACAGGGCCACAAAAGCCAACATTTTGAGGCTTTGCCATAAAACATAAGGTTGCAATCAACAATACCGCTCAGATTTATGACCTTTGTGTGTTTCTAGAGAAGTTTCCTGTCACGTTTTAAGCTTGGCCCTAATAACAAGCGTTTTGTCTTTGATTTGCAGGAAGTTGTTCGTCTAGTTAATTATGTCTTCAATACACTGAATCACTGACTTTAAAAGGTCGGGGTCTCAGGGGTACACAGATTAATATAACAGTCTGATAATCCATTAGCATGTTTATGGTACGTTAGCACATGTTTTTCCAGTATGTTACTTAGATGTGCACGTTAAGAGATAAAGAAAGATGTCATCGCTTGAGATGAGTTGAAAACCAGAAAAGTGCAGAGCCATAAGTTCTTCCCACTAGTCTGCTTTTGGCTCAGGGTGAAGATAAATCTGGCGACGCTCATCCTCTCTTTGTCTCTCTCATTCCGCACATTCTTTGGCTTCGCCGTCTGTATTTCCGGTGTGACTCCTCGTCTCCGTTTGAATGCCTCGCTTGTTTCTCTTTCACCTCTGGTTCCCTTCATCGCTCCCTGCGGTGCCTTATTTTTGTCTTCTTCTTTGTCCTGCCTTGTCCTCTCTGTTCTCCAGCCTCATTTTGTTTCATTGCAGTTCGTTTCCATCTTTGCCTTAAACCCTCCCTCCTGAGCCTCCGTTCTCACGTCTTATTTTTCATTCCCTTACTTCCACACAACCCCGCTGCTTATTGAATCCTGACTGAAGGAGATCCAAGCAGCATCGGGCTATCACCTGTCATTGATTGTGCACACTCCATAAAGCAGCCTCTCCTCTTTCACTAATATGACAATTAGGCCGGCCCCTGGGAAATCTATGAGATATATTTAAGTAGAACATTCACAAAATACTCTGCTGCATGCTTTATATCCCTTTCCATGTAGCAGCAGCCTCATGTACAAAACTCTGAAGGTCAACCTGGTGTAGCTCGCCCTGAGGCGAAGGAGTACTTCTTGGAACATTAATTCCTCTTTCAAAGTCTCTTTCCATGTGTGTGTCTCCTCTAACACAAGTTAAAGCCTTCAGGTTTTTGTTGTCTCCACTGAGTTACATCTGCAGACCTTTATTCACAATGAAAACAAGCTTCTGGCACTGGTAGCGCTAGTGTTAGCTTTAGCGCTAACACGAGGGCAGCAGCTTGCAAATAGAAAAAGTTGTTCACAAGCAGAGCAGAAGAAAGTGAGCGTTTATATGGAGTAGTGTTCCTGTCCACCTTCAAGTACATCCACTATTCACCCCTTGCTTTTGTTCTCCACTAACTCCTTACAGTAAGTAAAAATCTGGCTTTTCAGCTGCCTGCTGGTATTTGGTGCTAAGCGGCGAGTGTATAAAGTCTCCAGTTTGTTGATGGAAGCAATGAAACTGAAATACCATACAAGCGCGCAGCTAGGTTATACTTTGTGGGTCAGTTACTGAGCGTTTGCCGTGCATCACATGTCAAAGTAATCACATGAACTATTGCTATTACAGGAAAA